ATAATATAATAATACAATAAATACACATTTAAAACGTACTTTGTAATAATGTTACTGTATATATTAAGTTAAATATTGGACTTTAAAGTACATTTTAAATGTTTTAATAGTCTTTTGTTGCACTTTAAAGATGTACACTTGCTTTGATGTGTTGACTAACATACTAAAGCACAGGTAAAAAGTACTTGATTATAATTTTAACTGTAACTGAGTTATTTGATATTACAGTTGGTGCACCATATATATATACACATATATATATACACATAACATACAAGTATATTTTAATTTACCATAAATGCTTGGTCAGTACATCCAACAATACACTTTGTTCAAAGACAATAGGCAAAATTACATTATGAAATTACATCTAAAGTTGTACCTACTTAAGTGGGTCAAAAAGCACTTACGTTCAGCTAATTGCATTTAATATACATTTTAAACTATAATACATTTTCATTTAATTGAAATTAACTTGAAATTAAGTGTCTGAAAACAGTACACTGCAGTATATTCGTTTAAAGTATATTATTTCCATAATAAGTACTCTTTACAAAAGAACCCAAATTGCAGAATGGCAGCCTCACTTTTTACCTTCATTGCATACAATGAAAATAAATAGTGACTGAGGTTATATTTTTAGCCTTACATTGTATTTGTGCTACATGTAAGAAAGTCAGCCATACATATACAGAAGGCATTTCTTGCCAATCAGTTGAAAAGTATTTGGTGCACTTTTAACCAATAGGGTGCCTTAAAATTCCATAATGCAAAGTTTGTCTTAATGCAAGCCTGCTAATCCTGCCAATGTCACAACACATTTGCTGTGCAACATAATGTGCCCAATACAAGTCACTGTCAACAACATTTACAGTTTGTTTCAATTATCTGTGCCGCCCCACCCTTGTGTCCAGTTAGCTGCATGTCAGCAGCAGGTAGGTTTGGGTTTTCAGAAGGTCATCTCTGGCACTGACTCTTGCTCTGAATTCAAACTCTGACACATTCTTTCCACTGGTGTGCTCATATGCACTTTTTTTTTTTCTTTTGGTAATTTTTCCTAAGTGCGGTTGAGTGGGAGAGGAGAGAGAAAGCTATGATATCAGTTCAGGCCAGCTGCAATCCCTTCCTGTTTTTTTTAGTTCCCGTCCCAAAGAGCAGCACTTTGCCCATCCATAGATCTTACTGACCAAAACAGTAGCAAGACATGCCATTCAAGACGAGCAGTTAGAAGAGGTGCCACCTCTA